GTGGGGGGTGGGGGTGAATGGGTGACGGACACTGAAGGGGCACTTGACGGGATGAGCACTGGGTGTTATTCTGTATGTTGGCAAATTGAACACCAATAAAAAATAAATTTATTATTAAAAAAAAGAAAAGAAAGAAAGAAAACCAGAGTCGGGGGCATCACAATGCCGGATTTCAAGCTGTACTACAAAGCTGTGATCATCAAGACAGTGTGGTACTGGCACAAAAACAGACACATAGATCAGAACAGAATAGAGAACCCAGAAATGGGCCCTCAACTCTATGGTCAACTAATATTTGACAAAGCAGGAAAGACTATCCAGGGATCCCTGGGTGGCGCAGCGGTTTGGCACCTGCCTTTGGCCCAGGGCGCGATCCTGGAGACCCAGGATCGAATCACACGTCGGGCTCCCGGTGCATGGAGCCTGCTTCTCCCTCTGCCTATGTCTCTGCCTCTCTCTCTCTCTCTGTGTGACTATCATAAAAAATAAAAATAAATAAAAATAAATAAATAAATAAAAGACTATCCACCGGCAAAAGGACAGTCTCTTCAATAAATGGTGCTGGGAAAATTGGACAGCCACGCACAGAAGAATGAAACTAGACCATTCTCTTACACCATACACAAAGATAAACTCAAATGGATGAAAGATCTAAATGTGAGACAAGGATCTATCAAAATCCTAGAGAACACAGGTAACACCCTTTTTGAACTTGGCCACAGCAACTTCTTGCAAGATACACCTATAAAGGCAAGGGAAACAAAAGCAAAAATGAATTATTAGGGACTTCATCAAGGTAAAAAGCTTCTGCACAGCAAAGAAACAGTCAACAAAACTAAAAGACAACCTACAGAATGGGAGAAGATACTTGCAAATGACCTATCAGATAAAGGGCTAGTATCTATAAAGAACTTATTAAACTCAACATCCAAGAAACAAACAATCCAATCATGAAATGGGCAAAAGACATGAACAGAAATTTCAGAGGAAGACATAGACACAGCCAACAAGCACATGAGAAAATGCTCCACATCACTTGCAATCAGGGAAATACAAATCAAAACCACAATGAGAAGAAAAAAAAAAAAACACACACAATGAGATACCACCCCTCACCAGTGAGAATGGTGAAACTTAACAAAACAGGAAACAACAAATGTTGGAGAGGATATGGAGAAAGGGGAACCCTCTTGCACTCTTGGTGAGAATGTGAACCCGTGCAGCCACTCTGGAAAACTGTGTGGAGGTTCCTCAAAGAGTTAAAAATAGATCTGCCCTACAACCCAGCAATTGCACTGCTGGGGATTTACCCCAAAGATACAGATGCAGTGAAACGCCAGGACACCTGTACCCCAATGTTTATAGCAACGATGTCCACAAAAGCCAAACTGTGGAAGGACCCTCAGTGTCCACTGAAAGACGAATGGATAAAGAAGATGTGGTATATGTATACAATGGAATATTACTCAGGCATTAGAAAGGGCGAATATTCACCATTTGTTTCAAAGTGGATAGAACTGGAGTGAGTGTATTATGCTGAGTGAAGTAAGTCAATCGGAGAAAGTCATTATATGGTTTCAGTCATACAGGGAATATAAGAAATAATGAAAGAGATTATAGGGGAAAGGAGGGAAAATGAGAAAAATTAGAGAGGGTGACAAAATATGAGAGACTCGGGCAGCCCAGGTGGCTCAGCAGTTTAATGCCGCCTTCCACCCACGGTGTGATCCTGGAGACCTGGGATCGAGTCCCACGTCGGGCTCCCTGCATGGAGCCTGCTTCTCCCTCTGTTCTCCCTCTGCCTGTGTCTATGCTCTCTCTCTGTCTCTCATGAATAAATAAAAATAAAAAATCTTAAAAAAAAAAATATGAGAGACTCCTACCTCTGGGAAACGAATAAGGGGTAGTGGAAGGCAGGTGGGCGGGGGGATGGGGTGACTGGATGACAAGCACTGAGGGCAGCACTTGATGAGATGAGCACTGTTGGCAAATCAAACTTCAATTTATAAAAAAGAAAGAAAGATTGAAACCACTGTTATATCAACCAGTCCAAAAATGCTTCAGGGTGAGGCCCATGATATCTAGCACAGTGTCTTATACTCACGGCAATACACATTTGATAAATTAAATATGGTGCTTAATAAATTAAACACATTTTGAATTAATAATGACAAAGATGTCTGAATACCTACAATACTTTCAAGGCTCAAATGGCTCATAAAATGAATTATCAAGCACATACTAAACAACTATAATAAAATTATTATATTTAATAAAATTAAATTAAAATATTCCAAACAGAGCACTTAATTCAAAAGTATATTAAATCAAAAGTTCTTATTCACCCTCTCCTGGTCAGCTGTTGGAACAACAGAGTTAAAGCAGAAAATGAAGCAATCATAAGGTAAACTGAAAATCTCTAATTCAAAACTTAACTATGTAATTTGAAACTTACAACTTTTAAGACCTTTTTATGTAAGAAACACTGTGAACACTCACCAGAGAAAATGAACTCAAGAAAAGGAAATTTGTGAAATTAACAAATGAGAACCTGAATTATTGCTAGAATCCATTTCCGCCTGTAAAATTTTTTCCAACAAATATTAAATTTTAAGTCTGTCTAGCACTTTAGTTCATTGCTAGCTTTCTAAAGAATTAAAACTAGTTAAAACCTTTAAAAAAAAAACTAAAAGGCATCAAAGGATCAACTTTTCTTACTAATATTTACTATATCCTCATTTATTGGGAAGTTCAAATCCCTTTAGCTTCACCAGATCTCTGTAAAGTGGATGAAGGAAGGTAGGCCTGAACCAACTCTCCCAAGTGTCTGTACACACAGCAGATACACAGGTACCCCATTATGGTGAGACTGCCAGAGTTCAAATAGAGAGTGGGTGGTATACTGAAACTAGCATATGAATTTTCTTACTCCTGTTACTCTTATGTCTTCCATCTACCAACATTTAAGGATTCAGATTAAGTATTACCTTTCAAATTCTTCCCATAGCCATTAGATACATTAAACAGTAGCAGATACAAAGCAAATTTTAGAATTAAGAATTCAGATTAAACAGTATTTCAGTTTCTAAAGTCACAATTTGAGAAATAATACTTCCCATTTATTATTCAAAGTTCATTTTGAATTTTAGTACAAGGTATACCCAAATCCCAAGTGAAGATAATACCGGCATCTGGCTTACCATGAGAATATCATGCTACTATACACATCAAGGTAAAAAATTCTTTGTTCCCAATTTACTTTTGCTAACATTAAGTTAATCCCGCACTTGAGACTGAATAAAAGAACATCCTTGCCTCAATAAGAATCTAAAAGGGCTGAAGTGATGTGCATATTGTCATAACTCAATATAATTCCATTTTGTGAAAGTCAAGGACAATCAAACAAGGAAACAAGAGTTTAGCAAACAAACAAACAAAAAAATTTCAGCAACTTTTGACCCTAATAAACTCAGAAGTTTCTCAATCTCTGCAATATTGACATGTTGAACCAGATCATTCTTTGTTGTGAGGATTATCCTGTATCTTATAGGATGTTTCTCACCTCTAGCCACTAAATGCCAGCAGCACCCCCTGCCTGAGTTGTGACAACCAAAAATGTCCCCAGACATTGGCAAATGTCTCAGGGGATTTGAGGTAGGAAGTGAGGGCAAAACTGGCCCCAGCTGAAAGTCACTATTAGCTAAAGTGATGGGGCGGGATTAATTTCCTTCCTTCTCAGTGAGATCTGAGAAATCTCCTAAAGAAGAAACATCTGAACAGGGTTTTAAATAATTAGAACTCCTATATAGACAGGAAGTGAAGGCACAGGATGAACGCCAAGAAGCAAATAGCATATTCAGAAAAAGTAAATCAGCATACTAGGGTGGGATGATAAAAGATAAAGATAATCTTAAAAAAGCAAATTGCAGACAAATCCTAAGGAGCAGTGCCTCCCATTTTCTTCTTTAGCCCACTCCCCTGACCCAAACACTGGAAACAGCTAAATATAATGGGAACTCAGTAATAGTTTATAATGATAAAAAAAAAAAACATTAATAGCAGCTAGAATTTAGGGTGGGATTGTTATATGCTATGCACTATATTAAACACTTCATATACATTACCTCATTTAATCCTCGTAAAAAATCCAAGGCATGGGTACTGATATTACTCTCCTCGCATATTTAAGTACTAAAACTTAGGAAAGATAAGTAATCTTTCCAAAATCATACGGTTTAAAAAGTGGATTCACACCCAACTTATCGGTTTCCAAAAGCCTATGAACTAAGCCAAAATAAGTTCCAACAAATGCGCCAGATTATCAATCTCCAAACATCAACAGTTGTACTGCAGAAGAGGGGAAGACAGACAACAAGAAGGTGACAGAGAAAGGCTCCTTGCCAGTCCTGACTTAACTGCATTTCCCTAACGAAAAAAAACTTTTGTTCTGAGGTCTAAGAATGCTCTGGAGAATATAGTATAAAGCTTTAAAATTTCCGATGACTAGGGCAGCCTTAGGCAAGTCATTTTACTTCGAGGAGCTTCAATTTCCTCTTCTGAAAAATGGGTGTAGCAATACCTACACTATGAAAGATGTTATGAGAATGAGATCAAGCATGTAAGGCGTTTAACACGACGCTAGACACGTTGTAAAGCGCGGTTGTCTCCGATACAGCCCCTGCTCATGGTAAGCAGTAACGAGAGGGAACTAGAAAAGTCGGACGCTCCCAACACCGTTGGGAAAAGCGTTCACCATGCTCAGAGACTGTCCAGAAAAGAGATTCACGATGTCCCTTGAATAACCGGTTATCCTGATTCCGTCGGAGCCATGCAGCACGGCGGCGGAAAGATGGAGTGACCAAGCAGAGACTGGCTGTCTCGTTCGTTTCCGCAGCCACAGAACCTAAGGGCCGAGGGTGGCACATAGGCGCCCAGGAATTAACTGACAAACCGGTAAGGAGTCCTTGAGTCCTCTGCAACTCCGGGGTGAAAAGACTTACGCTAAGGCCAGCTTCCCCCGCAGGTTCGGCATCCATGATGCACCTGAAACATCAACACAAGCAGTCAGTTCAGATTTCCACCTCCATTCCCTCCTACGGCGTCTAAACCACTAAGAAATCCCTACCCAAACGCTCCAGCGTTGCCGCCGCCATCTTTCTCCCTCCCTCTACGGAAGCCTCCGAGTTCACGCACGGCCGGGACCACGCGCATGCGCAGTTCTCAGGTGGCCTGCCCCGGCGCGAGACCCGGCAGTACTCCCGCCCCGGGTGCTGTCCTGGGTACCGCGAACGCGCCGCCCGCGCCTGAGGTGTGATCCGGGCAACTTTGCCTGGGAGTGAGGGGCTTTAACACAGGCCGAAGACTGTGAGTGTACGGACATTCATGGAGATCCAGAAAAATCGAGAAACCTCCCCTCACGAGTGGCCAGAAAGGGTAGGAAAAGAGACGGTGAACAAGCCACCGAACGTGGGTGGACCTGTTTCCTCAGCAAAACAGAAAAGCGGCACAGGCTTGTTGTGAAGATCGCTAGAGATGGTGTGGAAAGCTCTTTTAAAGAACAAACAGCTCAAATATAAAGTATGATGTCCTAATCCCTATGTTGATCTCCAGCTTGATCTACAAGAGATAAATCAATACTCCTCGGCAACGCGCTACCACATATGCCGGGCAGGCGTTTCACTGAATCTGTGAATTCCTCACAGCAATCCGACAAGGCAGGGGTTATCACCTTCCTGCAAATGAGAAAGCAGGTCGGGACAGGTCAAGGCCTCTCCAACAACAACTGGCAAAACCACTAATTCAGCCTAGGCCTGGAGAATCAGGCCCCAAACCGGTGCCCCTACCCACATTCAAAAACGTGCTTGGCCTCTCCCCGTTAGGATAGATTTCCGGCTTGGTTCGCCGCACACAGGGCCGCCCCATACCCTGTGCAGCAAGCGCCGCAGGACAGTCGCGGCGCGGAGCCCGCAACTCCACGTACATTGCCCTTCACAGAGCCGGCAGGCACTCCATCAAGTCACTCGATCCTGCTCCTCTTTGAGTCCTAAGACTCTAGAGCCAGAATTTCCTCGCGGTTGCAGAAACTGACTCTTCTGGTCCTTTTTGATTTGATTCGAACGTTTTTTATCTTCTGGTTAACTGGCTTGTTGCAGGTCTCTTTACAGAATCTCCGGAGCTAGCGAAGTACCCTGGCACAGAGCGTTCACGGCTACTTGATGGAATAGTGGCTGAACTATTCAAAAATCAAAAAATTAAAACGGCTGGTCGAGGTGACTCCACTAGTCAGTCTAACGCTTTAATTAGTACTTTGCTGTGGGAGGTGAGAAAGCCTGACCCCCAGGCTGGGCTCGGCAGCACCGGGACTCCTGGCCCCGGGCGGCGGCGGCGGCGGCGGCGGCGGGGGCGGCGGGGGCGGCGGGAGGCAGAGCCCGGCGGCGGCGGCGGCGGCGGCGGCGGCGGCGGCGGCGGCGGCGGCGGCGGCCGGAGCGGCGCTCGCGGTGCGGCCTGGGCCTCGGCGCGCGCCGTAGCGGCGGGCCCGGCGAGGCGGGGCTCCGAGCCAGCCCCGCCCCCTTCCCGGCTGCGGCGTGGGGCTGTGAACGGTCTGCCCCTGGGGTTCCTTCGTTCGTCCCTGCTGGCCCGTGATCATGGGACAGGAGCCGCGCACGCTGCCGCCCTCTCCTAACTGGTACTGCGCCCGCTGCAGCGATGCCGTGCCCGGGGGCCTCTTCGGCTTCGCAGCGCGGACCTCCGTCTTCCTTGTGCGCGTGGGCCCAAGCGCTGGCGCGATCCCTGGGACGCCCCCATTTCGAGGTAACTCCCCGCCTTGAGCCCCCGCCCTCCTGCCCTTGTTGGGTTCGTCGTAGGCGCCGAGGGAGAGTTTCTAGGCACCCTTCCCTGCAGGTGGGGAAACTGAGGCCCAGGTTGGCAGAAGGATACCGGGCTGAGTTGCGTCCGCGTCTCCAGGATTGAGTTACACCACGCTGTGGCTGCGCGGCCCCGCCTCCTGGCGCTCTCGCGTAGAACCGCTCGCTCCCTCGAGTTACCCCTTTATGGAGCCTGGGCTGATAACCTCTGTGGCCTCCCTCCCCCACGCAGCGCACACTGTCCCCTGGGAGCCTCCCTGCGTTCCGGGGCTGTCTACAGCTCCAGGCCCTAAACAACGTCCTGGAAATCGATGATACCCGTTTCTTGAAGATGAATGAGTTGAGCCAGATGCTTTCAGGCTCCGAACTAGGTTTAGATTTTGCCTTGGGATATGGCACGCCAGTCATTTATTCTTTCCCAAATGACCTCTGGGCCACGTTTAAATAAGAATCACTTTTACATTCTATATTTGAGCCGCTCCTCAGCCTGTGAACTGTGAACATCAAGGGATATCAGCAGCATTTTACGGCTGAAAAGAGTGAGGTTCAAGGAGATAAAATGACTGGGCTGAAGTCCCGTGGCAGAGCCAGAACCAGCACTTGGGATTTCTGATTGTGAGTGCCTGGATATTTTTGTTATGCCATGGGATAAGTGAAGCTCCACTCCTCTAACATCAGTATTATGATTCTCCCAGGAATCTTAGGTAGCACTCTAACCTGAAGTCCGGTTTTGCTTGAAGTCGTAGGGGAGTTGGTGGGACACACCGAAAGGGTCTCTGGCTTCACGTTTTCTCATCATCCGGGTCAATACAACCTCTGCGCCACCAGCTCTGATGATGGAACTGTGAAAATCTGGGATGCGGAAACAAAAACAGTTGTGACAGAACATGCACTCCATCAGGTACGGTGGCTTACCGGTTTCTCAGACCATTATTATATATTTGCTGAGGGTTCTTTTGTTTTAAGTACGCTAACTCATCTGTGCAAGTTAACTTTTATAATAATGTCCATTATTTGGATGAGAAGCTCTATATTCTATATATAAATTGTAAGATGCCTCAAAACTTTTTTGGAAGGAGATACATATAAACCAGAGGTCAGCAAACTACTGTGCTGCCTGTTTTTGCAAATTGTTTTATTGGAACACACCCTCAGTCATTCATTTAAGTATTGGCTGCTTGCATACTACAACAGCAGAGTAGTTGTACCAGAGACAGTATGGCACACAAAGTCTAAAATGTCTACTATCTGGTTTTTTAACATGGAAAAGACTCCTGACATAAACTGTAAATGAATGAACAAAATTTATTTCTAAACCAGATGATTACTTACTAAGCCTACCTTTTGAGAGAATGTAGAAAAGAAAAAGACTTAATCTTAGTAAGAACTTTCAATTAAGCTAAAGGAAGAAATGTTTTTAAATAGTTCTTTAATCCTTAGGAGCTTAAATTCTTCTACCATTTGGTTAATGTACTCTTGGTATACAAGTGGTACTAACGGTATTTATTAAGTAAGTATCAATGTGCTTAGTATTATACAAGTTAAAAATGAAGTAAAAATTCAGCACTGACAAATGAAAAGCAATGTATTTTTGTTTTGTTTTAAAGCATACAATATCAGCACTCCATTGGTCTCCTCAAGTAAAGGATTTAATAGTATCTGGAGATGAAAAAGGAGTAGTTTTCTGTTACTGGCTTAACCGAAATGACAGCCAGCACCTCTTTATAGAACCCAGGACAATTTTCTGTCTTACTTGCTCACCTCATCATGAAGATTTAGTAGCCATTGGGTAAGTACTGTGTCATCTGTACTGGTAATTTGTTTTTGTTAATGAGCATATTTTGCATTTGCTTTATCTTCTCTTCCTTATTCCTCAGAGGAAGCCATGTATAGGTATTAACCATTCCCTGAGCCCATGGTATCATTTATTCCTGTGACTTCCAGGTCCTTATTGTCCTTCTCATTCTCTCTGTTTTTATTTAATTTCTACAATAGCGTACTTTCCTCATTCTTCACATCTGATTTCTTCAGTTAGCCTCCAAATGTAGGAAATACCCTCTTTCTCCCCTTTCCTCCCTCAGTATTTGCTCTTGGAGATAACATTTACTCTCAGAATGTCAGAGGACTTAACTCTGTCCCTGTTCGCAGCTCTGCCTCTGGATTGGGACAGTAGTCTGGCTTTGGGCGCTGCCTCCGCCTCGATCACCAGGATTATTTCACATAAACTGCCTGAATGGGCACCACCCTTTTCCTCACCGCTCCATCTACTACTCTCCCAAAGATGTCTTTTCACTCTAGTTTAGATATTTGACATAAGCACTAGAATGCTAGAGGAGAAGTCTGGTTGGAGTGAATTCAAGAGCCTGGGGTACAGTAGTCAAGATACACATGGAGACTTGTTTTTTGTACAAATGTGCATAGACATGAAGCCAGAGGAGGTACATGGTAGTAAAGGGAATATTAAATGGAAGATAATAGGGCATATTTTTATGCTGATGGAAGAGGAAAAGCTGTTGCATGGAGAAATGGTAATAAATACAGGAGTGATATGAGAAGTCAAGAGGGATTGTATCCAGATCACAAGTAGAAAGGACAAGTGAGAATATGGAAATAGGTGCAGGTGGGTTTGTAGATCTGGCTGGAAGAGGAAGGTGTTTGTTGTCGGGGTTTTTTTTTTTTTTTTAAGCTGTTTTTGGGTTTTTTAAAAGATTTTATTTATTATTCGTGGGAGACACAGAAAGAGAGGCAGAGATACAGGCAGAGAGAGGAGAAGCAGGCTCCATGCAAGGAGCCTGATGTGGGACTCCATCTTGGGAATCTGGGATCAGGCCCTGAGCTACCTAGGAAGGGTAAATACCGAGGAAGGTATTTCATTCTGATATCTTCTGATTTTCTCTGTGAGTCATAAGTCAGAAAGGTAGAGTCAAATTCAAAGTGGGGCTGGGAGCACACAGGAAGATGTAAAAATAGTCATCTCAGAGAATAAAAAAATGAGCTTACTGAGAGAAATTGTAGGTCCAGTGGTCCGTATTGAGGCCAAGCTCTGAATCAGAGTCATGAATTCAAAGTAAACTATTCAAACTGAGAAAGGGTATGGTTGGATTTGACAAGATTTGAAGTTTGTGGAGTAAATACTTCTGAAAGAGACAGGACAAAGCTGTTAAGGGTGTTTTTAAAGGAGTGATAATGAAGCATGAGGGGAAGGACAGGAAAACGGGTATGTGTGCTTAATAGTGAAAATGGGAGGAGTCTGTGGTTCGGTGGTCTGCTGGGTGAAGTGAGCAGTGTTACAGTGGGAGCGCTAGAGGAAGAGCAGAATGGGTGGTAGGCAGGGATCAGAGAAGGTAAGATCAAACTGACCTTGAAAGATGAGCAAGAATCCACAAGAAAAGAAGAAATCTTTCAGGTAGAGGGAACTGCACAGTCAGAGGATTGAATCAGAATGATTTGTTTTTAGAGGCTCTTCCAAATGGCGATCATTTCCTGAAAGGCTGATTAAAATTGAAGAACAGCTTGGTCACTTGACTGTTAGGTTGCAAAACTTGATGGGTTTTCAAAGTCCATGTCTGCAAAGATTGATGTATGATTTCATTTTTTTTTTAAGTAAGGCTGTAATGGGAAAATGTTTTTAATAAAAGTTTCTCCTTTTATTAAAGGAGTGTAATGGTGTTTTTCCCTATAGGACTATCTAGTGTGTAGGAGATGTAAGGAGGTACACCCAACTTTGGAGTGCAGTTTGTACTTCTAGCAAAGCAAAGACGTATACATCTTACATCCTGGCAGTTCCACTACTATGCATTAAATCTGAAATTGTCTTAAGTGTGCATAAGATTATTAATGGCATTTTTGTTTTGTTTTGTTTGTAATAGTAATAAACGGAAGCCCTCTAAAAGGAAAAATGAGTAAACTTGTGTTATAGTCACATAGTGGAGTGCCATCCAATAGTGTAAGTGACTGACTAGGAACCAGAGTTACATGCATCCACATCAATGACTCGCTAACAATAAGTGGGAAAAAAACAAGTTACAGAAAAACAGACTGCATGATAACATTTATATGAAGTTTTAAAATACACAGAATAATTTTCAGTTGTCTTTAGGAACATAGACAAAGAAAGGCTAGGAATGATGGAACAGAAATTCACGAATAGCAGTTTACCTCTGGGGAAGAGAGAGAAGTTTGATTGGGGTGGGATATATAAAGGACTTTAACCATCTTGATAATTGGGTTTTTTTTTTCCTTTAAGCTGGTTGATAGATACTTCTTTATGTGTATGAAATACTTCATCTATTTTTTTTAAAAAAGCTATTAGAATTTCTCGGTGTCCTCTGAATTTAAAAAAAATGATAGGCTGGGAATATCCAGGTCTAGAAGCTGCAGTATTCAGTTTTTTGTTGAGTTCACAGTTAGAAAAATTACAAGAATTTTACAAGGATTATTTGTAAAAAGTGGGAGAGGAGTGTGTTAGGGCAAATTCCGTCTCTAGTCA